GGCAGAGCCTTCTTTTAGCGAAGACGGACCGTCAGCTTATGCGGCTATGCAAGCCCAGATGCGAGTAATGATGCAGAGGTTAGAGAGGATTGAGGCCGCAGAGTTGGAAGCTCCTCCGGATTACGTTTCGTCGTATAGCAGTCGTAGATGATTGGAGTGCAGCTCCCGCTGAGACGACTGGCAGATTGGCGGGTTAAAATTATATCCCATTTATGCTCCCAATTTGATTCGGTCGCTTCATACTTCGGTTTATAGGCTCAGGCAGCCGCTCAAAACCATAAGGTTGGTCGTAAGACCTATTGATCACGGGGGTGACCCGACTCTCCTACCTTAATCGCCCGGTTCGAATAAGAAACCCTATCCTGTACGCTCACAACGTTTCCGAAATTAGCTGTACCCGATTCAGACACCGAACACTAAGTATGTTCTATAGTCCACGGTTTGAAGACACGCGTTTTCTCTTACCCCTTGATCCCGCAAGAGGCATGGCATTTGTATTGATCTGATGCTGAGGCTTGTGAGGTGTGCGAGCGGCGAACGCTCCGGTACAGTCCACTGAATACGTTATACATCCTATCAGCTGTACGTCGAATGTATTGTGGATCCTTGTGTGTGCAGCCTACAACGGTAGCCACAGTAATGTCAAATTTATTTATCCTCTCTCGTTCTTTTACCTTCGTGATTACTCAGAATACTCTCAGACATTACTGAGCTCTACTTGACAGTATGTACATGAATATGCTAGATAGCTGTACTTAGAGTTTAAGTATTGGCTCGAGACGAGCACCAACAATTCAGTTCTTCGTTCCCCTTCATTCTCATAAGAATGAGCGTTCTGAGGTCTTGGATCATGGGCGACACTTCTACCCAAGTCATATTGTTCTTTCAGGCCTTCGTTCAAAACTGTCTGAGAAGACCTGTTGTTTATATGGCACGTTTTAGGGCGGGATTGACCACTTGCTCCGCCCACCCCCCCTCGACCACTTCCACCACCCCCTCACATCCACCACAAAATCGCTTACCTCCACCACATTGTCCCTGGATCGTTCAAATCCACCACGCTTGGCGGATTTTCGGTAAAGGTGATGTGGTGCAAATGTAGCACGGCTGGACGTTATGCGGTATAGATGTGGCATGACCGAACGTGATTTGGACAGCGGCGTCGGGGACGTGGTACTGCTCTTCGGGTCTCCCCTCTCCCGAGAGATCACACTGAATTCTCTTCACGTGGCAGCTGGTTTGCTTGACGCGTACACTGCTGTGACTTGATAATCTCCAGTACTAAGATAGTATTATGGCCGGGCAGTAGTTTCCCCATGATACCACTAAGTATACTGATTGCGACTCGATCGATGGTTATCTCTATTGGCGCGCCGACTGGAAATGATTATGTAGTATCTGAAGTTTCTATTAAACATGTATTATAGGTAGAGTTATAGATAGATAGCTTGTAATGTAGCGTACAAATCTAAAGCGTTGTGTTCAGCGCTAAGGACCATAACCCGAAAAGGGATTGAAGTCTAAGTACACCGCATTACGTTCGTGCCGTCTTGCCAAGTGTGGGGGATATGGTCGATTCAGGGATATATCAGCACCATGTGGTGGATGTGGTGGATGTGGTCGAGGGGGGGTGGGCGGAGCACATTGTATATCCTCGTTTTAGGGTACTCAACCTATATTGCACGCCCCCGAACCAGTGGCCGTCAGCTGCCATACCGGGCTGACCCACTTGTTCCGAATCTCTGCCAATTCATTCAGGTTGGCGCGCGAGAATCGTATTTACCGCTCGAAAGGGTCTTGGACCTGTCTCGATCGCGGTGATAGTTCTACCACCTCCCATTTACTCCGATAACTATAAACCCCGCTAGGAGATTCGGGTCAGTAACACAGCATCAAGTAACTTGATACTCAGCAACAAAGTATGTGCAATAACCTAGGCCTTGGCGATATCATACACATACTAAAACCGCGCTCCTCCCGAGCAGAGTAAGCGCCACAAGGATGACAACGTCGATGACCTCGGAGCATTCCCTCTTATGGTTGGTGTAGTGCGACTAGTTAAATACAGTTTGCTCCCGCGATGGTATGAAGTTTCGTCGTTTTATCTGAGTCTTCGAGCTTCAGCAACACCTCCATGAATGACCCCTTCTTCACAGATAAATCGAAATCTGTGGAAGGTTTTCTGAAAATGCTCGGCCGCTGGTTCGAAGAGCAAAACCAGGGGCGTATATATCACTCAAACGCCGATGACTTGTTCGCACTCTCAATTCGGTAATGAATGTCATTACAGTGAGCGCTCAGGCGCTCATGACTGATGATCAAGAGCCACACTGGACCGTTGGAAATGAATGTCATTGGAGCCTTTAAGCGGGGGTCTCAGCTGGAGTCATGGCGGCAATTCTCTATCTCTTTCTCCCAGCAATCCACCACTTAGTTCTGTCTGCAGGGCACGAATAAAGCCAATGTATGTATTTCACCTAACGGAATCGAACTGGTGGAATGCTGATTCATCGTTCGGCTTAAGGAGATCCCTTGAATCGTTCCTGTCACTACTAGCTCTTCTCCCCGGATCATCAAGTATTTGGGCCTTCCACTTCGACCAACTACCCAGCACCATTACCGCCTTTCAACCACAAACACTCAAATGGATTCGTGATGACCCCGACCACGCAACATTTATCAAGTTTGCATTCCTCAATCAAGCCCATTTTCTCGCTGAGTTTGGTACGACAACAGTCCCCGAGACACAGCGGGAGGGGCAAATACCATTTACATTCACATATTCGTCTATTAGGTGAATTGGACTACCTCCCTGCCCCATTCAAGTACTAAAATCTTCGATTAGCACGTTTAGGATAGAAGGGCTCGCAGATAAAAAGTATTTCACTGCGCAACCCACAGAAATACTGACTGCAAACCCAACTACGACACCCACGACTACAACCTTTGATTCAAGTATGGCTTCGACCAAGCCACCACCGACGACTTGGAATCCGGACTTGGCCGAAACGTCGCCTCCTGATAGGTGAGAAAGCGGTTTGATTCCACTCGTCCATGGTTGGTGCTGTACCATTGAATGCATACCCTTTCAGTGAGCCGTCCCCAGTCCCGACAGCGACTCCTCCGGCATCTACTGCTGATTCCACACATTCTGCAAGTATTATCGGTGGTGCAGTCGGGGGTGGTGGTGGCGCCGTAGTCTTCCTACTTTTTATTGCATTCCTTTTGTTACGAAGGAGAAAAAGTGAGCAGTCATTCACGATCGGACTGGCAGTTTTAACCATCGACATCTCCGTAGACCAGCAAAAAGTACAAGATTTGGAGCAAGTAACGACGACTGGTCCTCATTCTCATTCTCAACCACCAGCACCAATAATCGAACCGTACCCCATGGCTGAACGATCACCTACAAGTCCTGTTTCGACTGTGAAAGGGCAGAGCCCAACGACGGAACGGTGTACGACGAGTGATCACTACAAGTATTCCGATCCTCGAGACCCATCGAGTCCATCAGGAGAAAGCTCAAGTCGCCGTGCAGAATCCTCTGTCAGCGGTAATGAAGATCGTGACGGTCCATCGGCATACGCGGCTGTACAAGCCCAGATGCGAATGATGATGCAGAGATTGGAGAGGATTGAGTCTGCGGACCCGGAAGCTCCCCCTGATTACGTCTCGTCCTATAGCGATCTTCGATGAGAGTGTAGTTCCGACTGAGACGAGAATCATATTGTAGTATATACGACACGGAAAATCTTTCTGAAGATCGAATTCAACCGGATTTTGCTTCCCACTTTTCCCCCTCGAAAGCTAGAAAAACGTAATCACAACGCTTTCGGGCCCTCTGGTCTTTTGACGCAAGGCTTTATGGATACCTGACAACGGCCAACACCGCTGACTTTTGAGTTGTAAAATGGTCTTCGTTCGTTCTGTTCACACTCCCGGGCTTGCTGCCAGTGGTGTTTGTCGAAGGTAGCCTCGATATAGATAGAGCTCGGCAATGCCAGGGCGTCAGTGCTTAAGAGTATCTTCCAAGTAACGATAGGAAAAACGCACACTCACAAGAGTCACGCACGCTGAGAGCATGTGCTCTCTTCTCGCATACAGAGGTGCCTGTTTGCTCCAATCTTGGCGACTGGGACGCACAGATGGGAGATACCTACATCAGCTGCGACTGCCGAGCCGTTGATCGTGACCAAGTGAGGTCCTGAAGCACGATAAATACGTCGTTGGGGCCCGTGGTTCGTGAGAGGCATGGCAACTATAAACCTCTGAAGCCTCAGGAAACGCCGCTGCGTATACTTCAAAGTTATCAAATAATTAAATCTTTGAGTGTCGAAGAAAGGGCGTCAATTGTCGTCCTGAATCGAAGGACTGGAGTCGTAAACAGGACGAGAACTCGAGCCTGGGCCTCAGTTGATCTTGTAAGATCCATAGATACACCGAGCTACTGGCATCTCAAAGTACACTTAGCAGAAAGGCTCACAAGAAATGGAAGTAGGGTGAGCAAGCTCGGCTCCTCCCTAAATCCGTCAACATTGAGAGGAAAGATGTATATTCTGGCATGCCCAAAAGAGAAAGAAAAAGGTTCCAGATCCAGACAATATCGAGTAGTATCGCCTCGAATACAACCAGAGCCACAGCTTGTAATTCTAGTTCTTCGGGGATTGCAGATGATACCTCAGCAAAAAAATGTTGGACTTGAAAAAAATCGAAGTTCTTGGGGAAGTGGGCGAACTTGAAGATTGTGGCCAGGAACAACAGACAGGGTTTGACGGCGCTCAACCTTTCGAAAAGAACTTCTCACGAACAAATCATTATCCTTCACCTCAAGGCGAATCAGTATAGAAACATTCTTTGTCTTTCAATAATTGAGTCCGAAGATGTTCTACTGCAAGTAGTGAGTAGTCATATCGGCAGAGGGCGAGCGCTCAAACACTCGAGTGCCTGAGCATGTCAATTACCAAGGGCAAGAAGAACAAAAGGGAATGAATCCTGGAGAGTGACCAACGTGGGGATCGAACCCAAGACCTTCACGTCAATATTCTTGTCTCACAGATATTAGCACAACGCTCTAACCAACTGAGCTAGTCGGCCTCAAGGACATGGACGATCGTGATGTCTAACTGATGCAGCAAACAGCTTCCTGTTGGGAGACTAACAAAGGAGAAAAAGATACTTATAGTTATATCTGTAAACGCCATTGTTACGCCCTCTCCAGTTTGCGGCTGGTGGATCCGCAAATGTAGCGTAAAGCTATCAAATTAACTAAGCCTGTTCGACGAAGATGCTTCTGTAGGTAGTGTTCGGTACTGGACGCGAAGAATCGGAGTCGATCGACTCGGATCGAGTGAGATGCAAGGAACGAGCGTGCAGCGGGCGGTGGATAGCAGAACGGCAGTTCATATTAAGGTACGGATACACAGTGCGATGCTCATAGAATGCGTCCGGTGTCTTTCAAATTTTCAATACGTGTGTGTATATGAGGGGTACGGTCCAAGTCTGTACGAGTCAAGGTCAGCACGAACATAGGGAGTAGATATAGAGGTTGATGCGCACATTGTACATCGATTCATCATCCAACATCCTTCTCAACGTTGCAATCCTCGATTTTCCCGCGTTCGATGCTTTGAGAATTAAGTCTCAAGTCGAGCGTATGGGTCAGCCGGAGGAATCTACGACTCTCAGCTGATGGAACGTACCCTTTTATTTCTCGTTCGAATGTTCCCTAGTACGTGTATCCGAATGTTCTCGGACATATGCAGTCGGAGTATCGTCGTAAGTCAGGTTCGTGGCTCGTTTTGTAGCTCGAAGGGGGGCCAGGATTGAGAGGTCTTTCTACGCGTGCGGTTATGCTGAGAGAGGAACGATATCGCGATGCAGAGAGTGTTGAGCACTTTGAAAGGGTTGCTCCAGCCGTATAATGACGCTACTGGAGATACTCATGGTCAGAAAAACAGGCAGGAATCGACAAGAAATCGAACGAATAAGCCTCAACTCACATTGTTACCCAAGCAGCAAGCCCTACGGAGCCTCTACTGCGTGCCCTAGACTGTCTTTGAATCTCCCGGAGACCCTGAGGGCAGTATTGAGAACTGTAAGCTTCCCTATGGGAAATAGTGTTGGAGGGTCGAGCAGTCGTTATAGGTACAACACTCCTGATACCCAAATCCGCATGACTGTGCGCAAAGAAGCCGAGGTACGACGGTCCTACGACAGGATTTCACGTCCTGCATAGCCCAAAAGGCGACTCTGGGGTGGATAAGGTAGTCTTCGAGTGTTAGGTTGAATTGTGCCGCTAGGGGTCCGTGGGCGACGGAGTTGAGGAAAACAGACGACCTAGAGTGTACTGAAGGTCTCGGAGGTGGTGGTTTGACTCCCAGTTACAGTAGCAATGCTGGTCGAGGTAACATCAGTCAGTAGGTTGGAGAGTGATCGACCGAAAAATTCGCAACTCACAGATTTGTCCCAACCTAAAAATCTCCTCTTTTCCTTCCCAAGTATGATCGTCCAAGCTTCGTTCGGATAATGATACAGGATCGCATTTCCTGGAGATGTAGAAGAATCACCACGAGCTTCGGGTCAGCGAGTTTTCAGAGGCGTCCGATGGTCGAAAAGAAGTCGTGGTAGGCTTGGTTGAGTTGTTGCAGAGCATTGCTGGTGGCTACGTCACGCGTAGGTAGGTATTGGCTCGACGCAGAGTGCAGATGGAGAATCGAGATTGACTACGAGGTCCTGGAAGTGAGGAGTTGGGAGCAGTGTCGCTATCGAGGTCAGATTGAGAAAAAGGTAAGCTATCCGGACGCTAAGCGGAAACAAGCTCCTGCCTCTTTGGGATGACAGCTTCTTGACAGCTTGGTGCCTCAATTGATCATTGCGTCATCAGCGGACAAGTGAGCTTGAATTTCTCTAAGTCCATCGAACAGTAGATGTCGGACAATGTTATGGAAGCTCTATTACTTGGCTACAAGTATAGTAGTAGATTTTTAGTTCTAGTGAATGGAATAAGATTCTTGCCGTCTAGAAGCTCGCTTGGGAGAGGGTGATATGATTCCCGGGTAATCTTTCCGCTTTTGGCCAGGCCGTACTGGAGCTGTTGGACTCGAGGGACGTGTGTGAGGTGAGGGAGAAGAGGGGAGTGGGGAGTCCGGTTCTGGGCGGGATGGCACCAGAGAGAGTTTTTTGTTCAAGAGCTCAAGAAGGTCGTGAAGGTCCTCACGTAGAGGTCCCGCTACAGAAATATCATGCGGCTCGAAATCTACTTCGGCTAGAAATGTTCTGATAGAGGACAGGTTCGGCCGAGCTGCGTTGATATGGTGCAAAAGGCGCGCTCGTGTATGTTGTTTCACCCCCTGTTGAGTAGCCGTTGGTAGTGGTTCAGATTGTTCGGATACGGGGCTCTGTATGGCAAAACCTAGTTAGAAATTTCGAAGAAATCAGGAGTGAAAATTACACACTGAAGGGATCATTTGACTAGACGAGTCGTCCACAGAAGCATCCTCGCTATCCGATGAATCGGATTCCGGTTCTAGTAACCCTACTGAGTCACTAACAAGGTCATGTAACCTCTCAGCCGCTCTGAGAAGGGGGCGAGGCTGTGGGGCCTCAGGAGAATGTGTTGGGGCCGGCGACGACGGGGGGGAAGAATCAGGGATTCCCGACAAGTGGCTCTGTAGTGAGCGGGCGTCTCTCTCGGATGTGGGGATTGGAAAATGCGGAATCTGAAGGTTGTGGTGGGTTCTGAGCGAGTCGACATATAAGAGAGCTGCACGAATGTGTTTACAAGCTCCACCCCGGATAGAAAAATCTGGACAAGTACATGATGCCAAGCCCGAGTACCAAAGTTGAACTTGGTACTCTATTGACTGCCTGTCGTGCTCGGCAACCAGCGAGGATATACAGGTCAAGTTCAATCCCTGCATGTTTGACATCCAATTCGGGGCACCAACTTGTTTGTGTGATACCAAACCTGCTGCGGCAGCGTCACGGGCCTCGTCTGGAAGGAGAAATGCAACGGGAGGGAGGGTAGAACATGATTTCGAGGGAGATTGTCGTTCCTGAAAGTTGTTCCACAGCTCCTGACCGTTAGCGAGAGTAAGGAGGCGTGCCTTCCGACGGTTGCGCTCTTCTATCAATAGAGTGCGTTCCTCGTATATAGAAGGCATCATGTCTTGAATGACGAACTTCAGCAATACATCAAAACGCAGCCGCCTCCCACCCCGCTGAACATGTGCTAGCCGCCCGTTCTTGAGAACATTGTTGAACGATTCTAGATGGTTGGTCGTCCCAAGAACATCCTCAACGGGGCATGAGAGAGTTTCTGAGGCCACCTCCCGGCCAATGTTTGACCAACTCTTCCAAAAGTCATCCTGCTTCCCGTTTGACATCCAGTACTCCCGGAGGTACCGGATGTGCTCCAGAGCCGCCGCACGTGAAGGGTCATCAGGCGGAAGGTCAGCCTGAATAACCTCAACCTCGTGTTCAATCAAAGCCATGGCAGCAGCATACGATGGGGCTTCGATAATCCCGTCCTCCAAAGCACAGACACGCCGCCATGCATCACTAGGCTATTCGTTCTCGGAGATCGGTATCTGTGATGGCGACCCGTGGTAAAAATAACTGCCCGTTTCGATATGCCTCCATTGCCCCTCTCCATTTTTCCAATAGCTTCGCCAGGATCCCTGAGTCGTAGCCTGATGATTCTCGCTGGGACTTTGGTGGTGAAAAGAATAAGAAAGCGAGTGGCGTGCCCTTCTTCTGTTCATCCAACCCCATCATAACAAAGAGGAGGATCTTCCGGCTACAGACGCCAAAAGTCCCATCCATGAGGATCTGTTTCCCATGTGCATATTTCCATGTAGACTCGAGCATGTCCTTTGTGGCAACACATACCTCTACCCGCTCATTCGCAGCCGAACGAGCAGAGTAGTGGAAAACAGCCTCCGCGAATTATCCTTTCGGATCTGGGAAATGGGAACACCTCTACTCATTTGCTCAAGAGCAACCGTGTAAACACTGGGGTGAAGACATTCCCGAGGTACGTGAGTATGCTTGGAGTCCTTGCACGCGTCGTTGTGGTTGAAGTATCCACGAATACGCGTGATTTGACGCGTCCGGGGCTTATAGGTAAGCTCTGCGTGAGCAAGGCATCCAGTGAAAGGTAGTGGGTTATCACGCTTCTTCGATCCTGCCGTGATATGATCATAACCACATTTGCTATTGAGATATTGAGTTCAGAGTGACAGGATGTATTATCACGGAATATTACCATTGAAATAACACTCTTGTTGACGCGTTTTCGCCCTTTCCCGACACAGCTGACCACTTGATGCTCCATTTACAATCCAGATCATTCTTATCCTCAAACATGAGCCCATGAACACCCATCATAGCCGCAGCGTCACGCTGGGAAGTTTCCGCCTGATCCCCAGCTATTATAAACTCATAAGCCTCTATGGCACCGGCAGACGCATGAATCTTCTCTATTTCGACGCGTTGTTCCTTGTTTAGAGCTAGTCTATCCACATAGATTTCGGAAGCGCGTTGTTGAATGGATAATGCAGTCTTTTCGCGTTGTTTGACGGTTTTCCTTCCATCGGCGGCATCGGCGGCGGAGACATAAAGAAATCGGATGTTTTGCACTTTGGGTTTCTTTTGGCGTGGATTATTTTTAGATGACATGACGAATATGATGTTTTCTACGCGTTCGGCGCGTCCTGCAGACGGAGCAGAGTGAAAAAGAGATGAGAAAAATATTTATTACGTGTATTCTACTGCCTGAAGGACTGCTCTGAAGACTATGGACCATGGAAGCTGGCTGGCGGACTTGGTCGCTGACGATGTCCGATGGAAGGCAGGCACCAAGCTGTCAAGAAGCTGTCATCCCAAAGAGGCAGGAGCTTGTTTCCGCTTAGCGTCCAAGCTATCCGAGGTTGAGTCTCGAACACCGAGGTGTGGGAACTCCATGATGTCATGAGAGTTTCGGGAACAGTCTTGACCGTGCGAGCTCCGTCAACCGGCCATCGCTTGCTCCTCGACCATCACCAAGGTTCCTTCCCGCCAGCACGTTGAAAACCTAAGCATTGATATTCGATCTGCTCCTCCGTTCAAAGCAAACAAGGGTCACTATCAAATTTTTGACAGCCGGTACAAGCACCACGTAGGCCCAAGCGATGGGAACGGGAATTCATCACAGCCAGCAACTCCAGGTACGTGCCTTCTCAGATTTTTTTCAGCAATTCTCGCCATACGTCGAAGCAACATACACTTACTTGGCTTCCACCTTCTCTCAGACGGAGCATCTCAATCCAATACCGAAATTGAAGACCCCGGCATTCAAACGGACCCTGCATGCTCTCTTTCAGGCAACACCTTCCCAATTAATCGAACAATAAAGAAACATGTTCGTTGGGCCCTTAATTAGGACTTCCCAACATCATATCCCGCGGATCCCTCCGTTTGCTCTCTCTACGCGTCTCGAATATCTATGAAGAAGAGAGACGCGTTCAGGACGTGTATTTTTCTACAAGCATTCATCGACGAAGTTTACTGTATCGCCATCGTCATGGTAAGTCCCAGCAAACCTACAGTCTTACATTCATCTTTTCGCGTTTCGCATCCCGAGCTCTTGTTCTTTTTTCTTTCAACATGCCAGAATCTTTCATTTTCCGGGACGGAATTAGAAAAACGTGTATGATTTCTGAGCGGCAAGGACATGTTAAAGGGTCACAGTGGCTCCGTCGCTTCTGACTCCTCACTTTCCTTCGCTCCTCGTTGGACAAAGACAAAGACTTCTTTCTCCACTATCTCCACGTTCTCCAGCGGTTCCGGCTTATAGGTCGTGACCTTTTAGAGGAAAACGAGACGAGACTTTCTTTTGCTCTCCTTGTGCTTTGCTCCTACATCGACCTTCCATTCGTCGATTTCAACCCTTTATCCTTGTTCTTTCGATTACAACAGCCGTTTACTATCACCTTCCACCATGAGCGAGCCCATCAACCCCATCAATGTCGACTTTGACGCTGATTCCTCTCACCAGACGAGTGACGACGTCCCTCTTTCTTCAGCAAACGTAGGACGAAGCTACACCCCTGCATCGACCACGTCAACACCACCTCTCACATCAGGGCCAGGTGGCGCACCCCCTGGCGCAGGCGTTCTAGCTTCGTCAATCCCTTTCCCCGATCCTGCGACTCTCAACACGTACCAGGACGACTCGGCAGACGTTGCCTCTACCTCTGATGCCCCATCGCCACTCACCTCTGCTTCTACCTCGTCAACCTCCAGCAAACGTAAATCTCACGCTCGCCGCCAACCACCCGGCCATATCCCTCGTCCTCGTAACGCGTTCATACTCTTCCGGTGTGACTTTGTCAAACAAAAAAAGATCCCCGAGCACGTCGAAGCGAACCATAGGAATATCTCTAGGATCGCTGGGATGGTGTGGAGGGGGATGAGTACGGGGCAGAGAGCTCCGTGGGTTGGGTTCGCCGAGGTTGAAAAGAGGAGGCATGGGGAAAGATGGCCTGGGTATCGATATAGGCCTGGGGGTGGGGAGGGGAGGGGCCGAGAGAAGGAACGGGATGCTTCTGTTGGAGTTGGGAAAGGGAGGAAGAAGGGTGGTGGTGTCGATAGGATGAGGAGTTGGAATGTCGACGTTTCGTCGTCTGTGGCTGGTCTACCCTCGACCCCGCCTCCTCCTCCTTTGATGTTACCCGTCGCGGAGATGCCCTTGGGTCTTCGACGACGCTCGTCGTCGTGTCCGCCACCAGGTGCTGTACCGGTTCAGAACGTCGGTTTTGATTATCCGTATTATCATCAGCAACAGCTGTCGCAAGATCAACAGCAACAACAGCAACCACCACAGCAATACGGTGCACGAGACGACCTATCCCAACGTCGTCCATCCCGAGTTACATTTTATCAATCCATCCAACCACACCATCAGTACAACGCTAACAACGCACCGTCGTACTCGAACCTTTCCCTCCCACCGGATCTCCCACCCAGCGCTGTTCCTCCTATGTATTGGAATTTACCGATGCCTCCTTCACCCGAAGGTGCCATCAGCGTTGGAGGTATGGGCGTAGGAGGTGTAGGTATGCCCGGTTGCCCACCAGGATGGGATTCTTCCCCTCCTAGAGCGGAGAAATGGACGGAGTGGAGGGAAGATGGGGATGTGGAAACAGGGTTTATGAGATGTGTTGTTATGCGGGTGAGTTCTCTTTCGGTCGTTCATTCCCTCGCTTGTGGATACTGAAGTGGTCTTTTCTCTTTGTAGAACAACGACTACGATAATTCGTTCAAGAACGGGGTTCCCGTCTGGACGGATGGACTGTTCCAGCAGAATCAGCAACAACAGGGACAGGGAGATGCTCAGTCTTCTGGAGCTTCCGGTAGACCAACGCCGACGTTTACGAACCCCTTTGACGCTGGTGCCTCAAATTCGTTCTCGAACGAGGCCGAGGCTGAGTTGTCCCCTCTCGATGGCTCGGAGCTCGATTCGTTCCGTTTGCCTCCCCCACCTGATATGGTTGGATATGCGGATCCGTTCGGATTCTATCGACACGCGGCTGCGGCTGGTAGGGGTGAAGATCAGCTGGAGCTTGATCTGGGGAGTTTGATGCCGAGGTTGTCGTTGGCTGAGGATTCGCAGGTTTGAGAAGGGTATTTTTGGTCCCGTTTCATTCGTTTTTTACGTTATCCTTTCTCGTTCCTCGGCGACGTTTTCATCGAGGACTGCTTCTCATTTGTGTACATCATTACTGCCAATACTACGATATTCACCCTCTTAATGCTTCCTTCGTCCTCTTTGTTTCTTTACAATTCCTTGTCATGCCTTCACGTTCCATTTCACGTTCCAGTTTTCACGTTCTACACTAAGTTCTGCTCTCGTTTCTGTTTGGCAACACCATATCCTTAGAACCTCATTTCTGCTTTATGCCACATTTATACCACATACCACATACGACGCACGATCTTCACCTCCGTTTTCGACTACGTACTTCAAACTTTTCTTCACGAATCACGATTCCCATACATTCATGCTGTACTACTACACTTACAATCTTCGTCTTCTGTTTTCTCTTTCTCTTTATCCGCAGTAACGTAGATCCCTGGACTTAATTGGATTTATCAGTTTGACGAACTTGATGGAAGCCCAAGCTACTCGAGTCTCGTTGTGCGAAAACCCGAGGACTTCTACTAAGACTGGGATCGCTTGTTTTTTTTATCCATGAGACGTGAGTATAGGTATTGACGCCCTCCGAGATTGAAGGTTCTGAGGACTGAGTTTCGGACGAGGTTCTTCAGCACCATGCCCCTACTAGCCGACCCCACCGCCTAACTGCCGTTGGCCAACTAGTTCAGTGGTTAGAGCGTTGTGTTAATATGTTTTCGCTGCCCTATCCAGTATTAGCGCGAAGGTCTTGGGTTCGGTCCCTACGTTGGCCAATCTTGAGAAGTTGCGATATTTTATTCGCATCACCTTTCATTCTCTGACGGATTGGCCCACAACGCCATTTTAACTAACTTTGCTCTTGATGTGAGACTCACTAGAGCCTGAGCAGTGCGGTAGTAAGGCCCTCAACGTGTAAAGCGCCCCTATTTATGAGTAATTCGGGGAACTCTAAGGGCTATTGAGAACGGTAGGGGATTGAGGGCTGCAAGCAAATAAGAATGACGCTTTTTTGGGAACTGTGATTGGTTTGCTGGGTGATGACGACAAGCTGAGGAAGGGGATATTGAAAGGTGCCCGGCACCTTTTTCAATCCCCCCACGATGAGCGACAGAATAGTGCCTCGACAGTCCGATGATCGTATTTGTAAACCGCCAAAAGCAGCAACTACTACCCTTCCTCGCGCGGTCCTAGATCTCTGCCCCGTTTTAAGAGATGATTTATAGACCCTACTCTTCGGCGTTCCCCCTTAGATGCATCTCCACAGAGTATCCAGGAACCTACCGCATTAGATCCTTCTGTTGCGTGGCTGCCCAGACCTCAACTAAGATTCCCGGTCTTCTGATCAAGCGCTCGGATCTACCTGGTTTCTAAAACCTCCGAAACCCTCACTTTCCTATGGAATATTGCATCCGGCACCAATTTTTATCATCAAAATCAGAAGGACTGAGACGACCGAGATACTATGATAGATGGAGATCCGACCCATTGAGGTGATAGCTCTTGCGCGGGCATCAATGGGATGAACCGTATCCTCAAAAAAACTATGGAATTCTTAGCTAGGAGGATGTGACTTGATCCCCCCTTTTGTTTTCAGTTCCCACTTGAAACCGCCTAATGGATCCTCTCCCTTACAATATCACACTTTCATCCCAAACCGCCACAATCTCCTACTTCCCGAGTCGTGAAGGCCCGATCGAAACAGGCTGGAACACCACTTACCCCTCGGGGGGTAAAGAAGTGGGACCCGGTACCCTGCTCGAAGGAATTGGAGTAGCCTATCATCGAACAACCCATGCTGGAGCTACTTTGGAGTTTGAATGGGTGGGCACAGCGGTCTATCTATACGGCAAAGCCAATGCTGGATCATACAGTCTTTCTGTCGATGGCAAGTCCGTCGAAAGTCCGTCGGATGACGTACCTCTGGGCGCGTTGCTCGGGTTCAAAGCCAATCTCGAGTACGGAAGCCACACGGTGAAGCTCATGGTGCTTGGAGAAGCAGAGGTGGTTTTCCAGAATGCTGAAGTGACAATTGGCATCGGATACATCGGGTGCGTTTGTATATCGTAGTTCATGAACAAGTTCCCTCCCGTAAGGGGGAAGTCATACTCAACTTCTCTCTCCGAAAAAGGAACACTCTACAAAACAGAACCATGTTTGCAACGGATGAAAAACCATCACTTCGGCCAAACCCGTTTTTTCAGTTCGGGGGCTCAAAGACCTCCAAATCATGGATAATGGAGCCCGCTCCCCAAACTGGTGAATACCTCCGCCCATCTTGAACCTACTATGTGGCAGTAATATATTCTCTAGTTTATCATGTTAACGGATCTACCTCTCAAATTGCTCGGCAGATGATGACTTGCGAGTTCGATAATACTCTCTCCTTCAACTTTAGCCAAGCCTCGGCATTCATTCTCTGGGGAGCGGTCAACTATGATCATTCGAGCAAGAGGGCCATGATCACCTGGGATGGAGGACAAAAGGACACACGTTTGAATGATATATCCGACTACCTCGATTTTCAGCAGATCATCTACTGGGAGGGAGGGTTGGATCGCGACAAGAACTATACTGTACAGATATCCAACGAGGTAGACACCCACAGAAGGATTGATTTGACCGCCGACACACGATGGCCAGCATTTGGGTTCAGTAGACTCGAGTTGATCGATGGGTGCGTTGTCGCCATGATAGCAATTGGTCCATAGAAACTGATCCTTTTGAAGTGGACCCGCTCCGAATCGGTCCACTAATGCTGGCGAGCCCAGCCCAACGGGTCAATATACCAGTTCGCCTAGGCCGGAGACTCTCACAGCGGGGACTCTCACAGCGGGAGTGCTAGCTGGTATTGTTGTGGGCTCTGTTGTCGTGAGTCTACTCCTCGGGGTTGCTGGGTTCCTGTTATGGAAATGGCATTACAGTCGGAGGTGAGCCAGAGTTGTCACTGACCACTTTAAATGGGCGAAAGTAACCTTGGACATACAGGCAAAACAAAGAATCTCGATATGGATTGATCTTCACTCCGTGTATGTTGATTTCCCACATTTTGGCCTGGACAAAGAACTCACAAACTGAATGGTATCAAGTCCCCCAACACTTGCAGGCCAGCGAGGGAACAGGAACAAGATCCTCTAGCTCTCGGTTGAATATAAATGCACCGCCGACTATTCGCGAGACAGATGCCGGCTCGGTACAAAGCACTTTACCCCCAGAGTACCAGTCTGACTACTCAATCCCTAGAGCAGCAGACTACCAACCTCAGGCAAGGGACCTGGCCGGCCGAGGTCCTGATTATAGGCGAAAAACTTGAGGCTCCGCCCTGACATTCAGAATCATAGTTAAGCTCGCCCGGAAATAGAAGACCGACCTACCAGGGGCAGCAAGGACAACATCACTAGAAGTTTCGATTCCAGCTTTTCTCCGTCCTCCTGGATAGTTAAGTATCTAAAGCTCGAGGACTGGCCACTGAAGATTGCAACTATAAAAATGTAACGAGTTTCCATTGATGGTTCAGGGACCCCCGGCTTTTGTAGTATCCTAAACAAAGATTTCCTAGTCCGAAAGCTTGAACCTGAGTCCTGATTTCCGGTAGCAGGATCCGCTGTACAGTGGACCAGTGCGATAGAAGTAAACCTACGCTGCAGTCAAGAAAAGGGTAATTTCAGTTGATTCTGCATGCCTCTTGGGCAGTAAGGCCGAGGTTTAGTCTTTCCACTCCATTCTACAGGACTAGCTAACGAATAGTAGCGGTCAACGTGAACGATTTACCTGTCGATTCAAGTGTCGATTCAAGTGCCGATTCAATGTTGAATCGTCAAGGGTGAATCGACGGGATTCGTTGACCGCCCCATTTAAAGGGTCGATTCATGTTCTCGATTCATCATAGGTTTTGCTGCTATAAACAAACTTACAGCCTTATTACCGGTTTATATGACAACGACAAGCTGATTCACTGGTGAGTCCCGGCTGGTCTCAGAAGAGGCTACTCGGAAAATGCCTGTTATATATGCTCAGAGGTCCTCAAGTGGGAAGGTGATTGACCACATTTGGGGAGAACAGGGAAGCACTCACTAGCAGCTCTTGACTTAGCAAGAATTGGGAGCAACAGAATTCAAGCCTGAATCATCAAGGTGAATTGCCGATTCCTCCGATTCACCATCTGAATCGAAAAGTGAATCAACAGGTGAATCGTTCACGTTGACCGCTACTAATTTTTTTGTTTTTTTTTTTTTTAATTCAGTGTTTATTGTGCGGGAGGCTAGTGCCCATGATGCACATAGTCTCGTCTACGGGTTCTATCTAACCTAAGGGACCCCTGTCCCTGGTTTCCTTCATCCCGAAAGCCCCAGCGACGGAGCATTTCCCCCGCTGGTCCGAAGCGTCCGAGCCTCGTTTTTGTCGGCGATGATCAGTGATAGACAGACCGCTAGGTCCTCGTGTGGCCGTCCTCCTCGAAGTGCAAACATTCACGTGCCCGCCGAGGCAAGCACATCCGTCGAAGACGGTTCTCGCTGAAGCGAGAAAGAGAGATAGGTGTAGCTTGAGTTTTGGTGGTCGAGGTGTCGCAACTCGTATTCCCTGTATGGCAAGTGGTTATCTGTGGCTGGCCGTAGTTACTTGAACTCACCAAATGAAGATCTCAACCGTTTCGTGCTTCTGACAAATTTTATGAGTTCAGCTATATCCTCGCTCTTTGATACCATCATCTGCGTCAAAGACGAGGATCGTCGCCCCAACTTTTGCTTGAAGGTATGACGTTCCTTTCTGTACGCCGGGCACTCGAAGAGGTAGTGCCGGACCGTTTCACGCGCGGACGTTCTGGTCCCTCTGCAGTGAGGGCAATCTGGTGATTCAGATCTCCCGATCCGGTGGAGGTGGGCGTTCAAGGCAATGTGACCAGATTGAAGTTGGACCAGCAGACTGCACCACGAGCGTGGTAGGGCCGCTAGAGATTTGTGGAGTCGGGTGGGGTTGAATTCAACGTTCGTCGGGAAAGCTCTTCGGTATCGTGGGGATTCTTGGAAACGAGACTCCCAACGAGACTTAATCTTGACCATGAACGATCTCCGTACCATGGCGAGGCTGCTCGGTAGTATGGTCCGCAGTTCTTTCGGAACGGTGTTCCTGGCACTTGTTTCGCCCTCGGCAGCTTTCTTGGCTAGTTTGTCTGCAGCCTCGTTACCCTCTATCCCTCTGTGGCCCGGAACCCAACGGAAGGTCACTGCCCTTCCTGCAGACATGCTGTGTAGTTTCTCTATGATCAGCTGGTTAGACTTGACCGTGCGATGCGTCAGTGCCTGTAGCACTGATCTCCCATCAAGGTTGATGGAGACTTCCTGAGATGCTGCATAGTGCCTCTGCGCCAGGTGGACCCCTAGCAAGGCTCCAACTGCCTCTGCGTCGTACGACGAGTAGTGGTTACTGCTGCCTAGCCTATAGCGTAGGCTCTGGACAATCCCCTTCCCCCGACCGCTACTAATGTAAAGCAACGTCCGAGTAAATAGTAGGTACCTCTCGCTTCAGCACGAAGTGAACCCTCATCAACGACCGCTATATGACGAAACGTAATCTGGGGGAGCCTCCGACTCTCCAGCTTCAATTCTTTCCAGCCTTTGCATCATCATCCTCATTTGAGCTTGCATAGTTACGTATGCCGACGATCCATCATCAGCGACGGAGGATCCTGCGCGCCGGCTTGAGCCTTCTCCGGACCCAGACCACGTGCCCGGTGGATAATGAGAATTGGGATATTGATGGTTTTCCGAGCCTGTTG